CTCATAGGAAACGATCTTGTGGAAGATCAGCATGTACCTTCGGTGAGGAATTGATTAGAGATAGCAACTTGTTAAAGGAGCAATTGCAACCGACATTGGATCACCGTAATGTAAGACGAAGACTAGTCAAGATCGAAATGTATGAAGGAGACTGGTGAAGACTGTAATATATGGAGAAACCTGTGCAAAACCGCAAGGAAGGAAGGAAGGAAGGAAGGAAGGAAGGAAGGAAGGAAGGAAGGAAGGAAGGAAGGAAGGAAGGAAGGAAAAAATTAAATTAATTATACCGTATGGATAATTTTGTGACTCTTTATATATGAAAATAGTATTTGAATTTTTTTTTTTTATATAAACATTATCAATTATTTATTTTCAATTACTTTCATTTTATTTTACATTCTTTCTGTTGATTTTTATCGCAACTCCCAGATCGTTATTTCGGCCGTACGAATCGAATATAAAAGAAAATATAGTCAATTGAAAAGTGTGAATACAAAAAACTATCGATAAAAATCGAAAAATTCGTGCATTGATTGCTCGATAGATAAATACAGTTAAGGAAAGATAAAATCATTTTTTTTGCAAAGTTTTCCGTATTTACACGACCTGGGCGTGTCATATCTTGATCTTCACGAATATTCGCCTTCACCTAGCGCAGATGACAGTCATGCTTGAGTGAAATGCATAAACAAATGGAGCAGAAGTGACGCCCTCTTTATCAGCCCATTCCGCATCTCTTCTTTAACTTATCGCGTTCATGCCTTTCCGTTTCTTTCACGGTTTCCCAGCTATTCCCTTTCCTAACTCGAACACTGCTGACCTGGTCGCAGATCAGAGACGTGACACGCAAATAACCGTGACGGTTTTTATTACAAAGAGGTCGCCTGCAGTATTCTTGTAATAAAAAAAAAAGAAAAAAAAGTCTCTTCTCTCTTGCTCCATCCTCTCCCACCCGGTCTTTTTTTTTACCCTCACTGTCTTTCTCATTCGCTTAATCTCTTTATTCTTTACCACAGTTTTTTTTCTCTCTGCAACATTTTCTCCTTCGCTCTTTCTTACGATGTCTCTCTGTCTTTCTCTACACTTTGTCCATCTTGTCGATTTGTGCAGTTTTTCTTTCTTTATGGCATTGAAAGACACTCTTATTTTTCCTAGAAATGAAAACTAAACAGAAAATAAAATTTTGTCTTATTAGCCTGTCTATGCCAATGCTACTGATCTGAGCTGGATATTTGTCTAAAGTCATTACTGCAGCTACCTCCTCAGATGCGCTAAAAATGAGTATGCCATAATGGAAAAATACCCCAAACTCAATTTATAAAAAAATTTATCGTCAAAATCCTTGTTATTATTAAGAGAAAAGACGAAGGGATTTTTTTAAATATTAAATTATATCTTTAATCCTTTTTAGAATGTTCGAAATTTTGGTTAAAAATCGTGCCTTTCTTGCGTCAGCGGTGGAAACCAAATATTAGTATAGAAAATTTTAGCGTCATTTTTGCGATGAAAACATATTATATGGAAATTCTTGCAAGAATCAAATAATTGTTGGATTTTAATGAAACTTTCAGGACTTATTCATAAATGAATGAAATTATTTTAGAAATGTTTCTTTTTTAGAAAACCTTGATAAAATATTTTTTACATTTGTAACCTGTGAAGAACAAAAATAAAATTAGGATGCAGATCAATTATTGATCTGGGGTTGTTTTAGTTCCCAAGGCGTAGGGAATATTGAAATAATAGAAGGGAGGTCATTCGTTGGGTTTGAAACCAGGTTGGGTCTTTCAATAAAACAACGATCCTAAACATACTTCAAAGCTTACAAAATTATGGTTAAATTCAAATAGAATAGAAGTTCTAAAATGGTCAAGTCAATCTTCAGATTGAAAATTTATGGAGAGAGCTGAAATTGAGAATTCAAAGAAGGAACCCACAAAACGTTCATGAAATAAAGAATTTTGTCCTGAAGAATGGAAAAATATTATCCAAGAAACATGCAAGAAATTCGTAGGAGACTACTCTAAACGCCTACATTCTGTAATTAGCAATAACGGTTATGCTATGAAATATTAATAGATGGTTTAATAAGTGTATTGTAAATTTTTGCGTTATTAAACATTGGTTTTTCTTCGTGAGATATTTTTTATTGATTATTTTGTTAAATCTGATTGTTTGACCAAAGGCTTAAACATATGCATTATTGGCAGTACATGTTCCATTAATCTGCGTTAGAAATACCTAAAGAAACATTTTTGTAATGTGTTGTAAACATTTTGTGTGGCACTGTATTACACTTCTTCATTTAGGTCCATATCCTAAGGGCTCTGAGGTAGAATCCTAAGATTAGTCCAAAGTTTATTTTTTGGTTGTGGTGGAAATAGAAGCTGATTAGATCGTTTTAGTTTGTGATTTTACGATATACTTTAAAATCTAATTTCTCATTGTTACGTATTAATAAGATGTCGAGAAAAGGTAGAGAATTGTTTATATCAAATTCGTGTGTGAATTCAATGGTAGGTATAACCTTTTTGAGTTACATTATTATGTCTAATAGGTTTGTATCTTGGAGATATAATATCTATATATCTTATGTAAGTACAGTTATTTGGTATGTTGTGTCTAAATGCACTGGATTCTAAGAATTGTAGAAAAAGGCAGGCGAGAATGTCAATGATAGGTGACCCCATAGGTAACCCGAATTTTTGCTTGTAGAGAATATTGTTGAAAGAGAAGCAGTGATTAGTAATTAGTTTGCATATTTTTTATAATTTTGTGGAAATGCAGAGGAAGCTTTTCTTTGGACTTTTTGATGGGGTTTCTCAGTATTTTGAAGCATTTCGTGGTGGGTTTGTTAGTGTATAATGATTTGATGTCTAAGCTCACCATAACCATGTTTTCCATATTTACGTTCCGTATTCTCTGGATTAAGTCACCAGAGTGTTTTATATATGCCTTGTGTTGATGGTTCCTAGGAACGAAGACTTTTGAAATGACTCTAGATAATTTGTTGGGGAAACTGTTGATAGCGGACACAATGGGTCTGATAGGTATGTTGGGGTTTGTGCGTTTTGTGTAAGCTGTCAAAAACCCAACATAGGGGTGAGGGAAATTTAGTATTTTTTTATCTAGCCGAATTGATTTTGAGTCTTTTGTTGTTTTTCTTTCCACCACTTTTGTAAGTAGGTATCATCCACATCTTTGTTGCCATATTTATCACAACATTTCGGCCATTGTACACTCCGGCCTTCTTCAGGTGGTTGGAATGTCGAACTGAACCCTTTATTTCCCTCGCTGAGGTGGACTGTTCTAGTTCCATGTGTCATGCCTAATGGATGTCAGTTAATTCTCATCTCCAAGTTCTCCACCGGCTTAACCAGGTATTGAACTCACACTCTTTGGGTCCTGTCACTGGATCTAACTAACGCCTTTATCCACTGTGTCATGTGTCCTTGAGTTAGATCCAGTGACAGCACCCAAAGAGTGTGAGTTCAATTCCTGGTTAAGGCAGTGGAGACCTTGGAGAGGGGAATTAACTTAATAATGTAACTGATAACTGACATCCATTAGACATGACACGTGGAACTAGAACAGTCTACCACAGTGAGTGAAATAAAGGGTTCAGGTCGACATTCCAACCACCTGAAGAAGGCCGGAGCGTACAACGGCCGAAACGTTGTGATAAATATGGCAACAAAGATGATGATGATAGTCCGAACAATGTAAATAGTGTATATAATACCTCATCTCAAAAATATAGACAGAAACTTTTTCCACTTTGTCATACAATTCTGTTCTTGATATATAAATATATATATCCTTATCTCATATATATATATATATATATATATATATAGAGAGAGAGAGAGAGAGAGAGAGAGAGAGAGAGAAAGAGAGAGAGAGAGAAAGAGGATACTTCAAACGTTAGTATCACTGGATACTCGTAATTGAAATAGACGTTCTATTTTTATTTTAATCTGTGTGTATTACGTCGATCGGGCTATCGCTTTATATTTAAAAATAAAACCATTATTTCCTGCTTTGTTTAAGTTTCAGATATGAAACTGAGCAGATGTGAGCTTTTCAAGAAAATATCTAAACGAGGAACTGCACTTTCCTAAAAAGGTAAAAGTACATTTTTTTTTTTTTTTTTTAACTATGACACTCTCTGCAGCCGAGCTATAAAGCAAACACTGCTTTCTTCAAAGGGAAATGCAGGTTTGATCCCCGCTTGATAGTATCTATTCTTTATGATTTATCGAATACGCAGGTCGATAGACATAATGCACACTGTTTAAAATTAAAAAAATGGGGAGGACTATTTCAACTACGAGTATCCACAAATAATAACGTTTGAAGTAATAAAAATATCCAATAAAAAAATAAATCCATTAATTTTTTTATATATGTGTTCGCGCGTGCGCACTAACGCGTTTGTGCGTCCACTCTTAATTTATTTTTTCTTATTCTTATTTGACATTTTTATTTTTGTTCTTATTTTCTATTGCTTTTATAGAGACGATTAAATATTTATTGACAGTGATTTGGTATATAACAGAAATGTTGACTTCCGTGCATTCATATTAGAGTTAGAGTTAATCGGAATTTCAACAATTCTCAACACCTCTTCGCGGTAGATGAGTTTTGAAGCTGAGAAAATGGATAAGTAATCCTTTGTGTTTCCACAACCGTATAAAGCGAAGTTTATTGATGCAGAAATAAAGTGCAGGAAGACATCTAAGCGGGAGATGCACTGCATATTAAGAGAAATCAAAAAACAGGAAAACTGTTTTTCGTACGAATCTCCGTGAAGTGTCTGCCGCCATTACTATCATTCTTGCTATTTTTCTACGTCTGGATCTGGGGAGGTGGATGTTCTTTGACTAATTACGGGTGCTTTACGAACAACGGAAGTAAATGTCAAGAAAAGAAAGATGTTGTTGAGGAGGGTTGACAGAGTGACCTTGTAGACGTTGACACATAATACGAGCGAAAGATGTTCACCCAAGATGAAGGCAATGATGCAAAAAAAAAAAAAAGAAATGTTTTAATTTTTTATGGTTTTTTAAGGGGAGGGGGACTAAGAGAAGTGCCGAATGAACTTGAACATTTTGAAAACAATAAAGAAAAGAAGAGAAAAAGATGAGGAAGCAAAGAAGAAGAAAAAAATTAAGACAAGGATGAAGAAAAAAAGAAAGATGAAAAGAAAAATTTGAATTAAAAAGTAGAATTAAAAAAGAAGAAGAAGAAGAAGAAGAAGAAGAAGAAGAAGAAGAAGAAGAAGAAGAAGAAGAAGAATGGTAGACAAAATTTCTTGGGCGTATAATGAGGGTCTGAAAAACTTAACACACTGTACCAGGAACATTTACCGTAAACATTTTTTTGCCGTAGAAAAAAATCGTCTCAGGAATTTTCGCCTTAGGAAAGTTCCCCGTATAGGATTTTTGCCGTAAGACAATTTGACCGCATTTTTTTTAGATATCCTTATCTTGAACGTCAATTTTAGAGTAATAGATATTTATAGTGAATTTAAAAAGTTTACGTTTGCAACTAATTTGTGTAATTTTCAAAAGACATAGTGAGAGTTTGAAAGGGTTACCTTTCTTTGATTAAATATTTTAAGTTGGTTGCATATTCAAGTTGTAGGTTTGTCTGAAATAATATATATTGCTTCAGTGAGAATTATTGGCAGACTGATATTATGTAAACAAAGTTTAACGTTAAGTCTGTAATATGAAATTGCGTGACGTAGGTTCTGGTGTCAAGGTGAACTTTTTGCATTCCCCACTGACGAGGATGAATGATGTAGGATTTTAATCCTATAACTGCACTTATTAAAATGTTTAAATCGAAGTAACAATAGTGTGAGCCAGATATACTTGATAACAAGTTACTTCGCATATTAAAAAAAAATGCGGCGAAATTGTCTTACGGCAAAAATCCTATACGGCAGTTTTCTACAGCGAAAATTCCTGAGGCGTGTTTACATACGGTAAAAATGTTTACGGCGAATGTTCATTGAACCACTTAAGGTTATCGAGTATGACAGACACCTGATGAAATCCAAGGGCTAAAACGGCCGAAATGCTGTGAGTATAACAACAAAAACGAGTATGGAAATGCTTATAAGAAATTAAATAGTAAATATTTATTTAAAAAATAAAAGACTAAAAATATATCAAATTAACAAAGAAATAATTTAAAATGTGTGCAAATTCTAAGCAGTGCTTCGTTTTTTTGCGTTGGACTGTAATGAAGCATTTTCCGCGGAAGTCTTGCATTGATATCAATCTATATTTTGTTCATTTGTATTGCATCTCCTTGATCTAAATCACACTTCTTTTTTGCTAATGTCTCTTCCTTTTTCAAATACGCATTTTACACAAATTTAGGTGCATCCTATAACTTCGTTTATTAAAATGTTTAAATCGAAGTAGCAATAGTGTAAGACAGATAGTGATTTTCCAAGCGTAGCTTAGATGTGGCACAAGGCCGAAAGTATGGGGTATCCAGTGAGAATCGAACGCACTACTCAGTAGTAATTGTTCTAGCTAGAGAAGATTGCTAACCATTACACCACCTCAAGTGGCCCGAAGTGTAAGACAGATGTACTTGATCATAAGGTACTTTGCGTATTAAAAAAATGCGGCGAAATTGTCTTACGGTAAAAATCCTATACGGCAAATCTACGACAAAAATTCCTGAGGCGAGTTTTCCTACGGCAAAAATGTTTACGGCGAATGTTCCTAGAACCTTAATGCTCACATGACATAATGAACTCAAGAGAAACAGGGGAGATAATGAATAACCTGCTTAATTAATTTGAGTGAATGGATAACAAAACAAGGACAAAGACGGATAGTAAATGATCAAAAATTACTTAGAGCAAGGAAGTTGTGAAGAACTCTAACCGCCCATCTTCTGAAAAGACACAACGTGTAAAAGAAGACGAGTATTTCGTGTTCGAGCGATCCTAGTTAGAACTTACGATTCCGAATAATTTCAATAAGAAAAAGTATTCACCGCTTGAAAAACTGACGCAACACAATCTTCGTCCCCTATTTTTCCTTGGTTTAGGTTTTTATTGAAGCAATCTGATTATCTCGAATGGAAACGGGAGAGAACGGAATAATTCATTGAATAAACAAAAAGAAACAATGATGTAGCAACTCCGAAGGGGCGATAGGATGGTTGAGCAGAACAGCGGGAGACAAGAGGGACTGACTGATGGAGGCGGTTGAAATCCGAGAAATTCATCGCAGACAAGAAAGGTCTGCAAGTCTAATTATGAACACACTCAGGGATGTAGTTTTAATTCACTGTTATTTTATTGCCACTTTGTATGTGTTTTGTTTTATTTGACGGTCTTTAAAAGAGGTGAATTGTGCGTGCGTCGATCGTGAAATGGAACGCCTGGTGTGCGTCATCCACGAAGCGTTGACAACAGACAAAACGAATAATTTCTCATCCGTCATCAACATGAATTGATGATATCGTTTCTCAGTTCTTTACTTAAATGATGCCCATCTTCTATAGATGGCGATTACAGACGACATGGTTCTCTCTGCTTCTTTTGCCTTTCAATATGTCCCAAGATATATATTCAGATATTTATAAATCCTAATATATAACCGAGTACAACCCTGTCAAATCTAACGTGTATTGTGAGGGAGTACATATTAAACGATTTGTTTATATAAGCTGTGTTATTACGAACTGAACATTTTTAATTTGAAAACTTCCACTGATCATCGGAGATGCTTCGACTTGAAAGTCAGTGTGATTTCTCATCTTCAGTATGGCTGCGCGTTTCCAGGCATGCCCATTAGCTCAAGCCCGATTCTGTTTCTTCAATACCTACATAATCAACTTGTACTTTTATAGACCATCTATGCTTAGCGGACTTTAATTACAACTAGCAGTAGAGCCCGGCGCTGCCCGGGGATATAACATAAGAGATAGATCAAGTATCGACCATCATAAAGACTGAAAAATAAAATTGACAAAGATTATTGTTTAAGGTTGACGGACACGCATGTCTTAATTAGTTTTTTTTGGGTTTTTTTGGTTTTGTTTTTTGTTTACGAATTGGTCAAACCCAAACTGAAACAAAAACATTGTTTTCAATCGTTATGAGTCTACCGATTGAATAGAATTTTATTATAAACAATTGTCTTGTAAATGGAATTTTTAAAGCATTGTAAATGTAAAAATAAAGAAAAAAGTGTGCATGACAATAATAAACACTACCTGACAAAAAAAAGTGAAGTTTTGTTGAAATCGGTTGAAAAATGTAGGAAATCCGATCCAATATATAAACGAAACACACACACACACACACACACACACACACACAAACAAACAGCCTGGGTTTTATAATAAGTTTCATTCTCGCGACAGCGATGCCTCTTTCGTGTTTTCAAATTGATTTCGTGCAAAAACAATTGTGTTTTTCCCATTTTTGGCGCTGCCAGAACCACCGCAAGGTAATTTTACGTAGTCCTGTGAAGTTTTGTTGAAATCGGTTGAAAAATGTAGGAAATCCGATCCAATATATAAACGAAGACACACACACACACACACACACAACCTGGGTTTTATAATAAGTATGATTCATGTAGATATTTATCTACATACTCACGTTGTAACAGAATGTGATACAAGGTTGAGGTTTAATGTTGGAAGCCGTTTTAAAATTACTCAAGTTTCCTCAGCATACACGCATTTGGGGCCGCCTCGAACAGCGGGTAATGACCCCAGCCCATTCCTGAAGGAAAGATAACTGCCTGGGCGGGGATGAATCTCTAGAACTTAACCTATTCCTGCTCAACCAACCTATCAGACATTACGTATCGTTTTTTTTTTTTTGTTTTTTTTTTCTTATCATTTCACCCAAAGCAAGACCGGAATGCCACTAGTACGCAGGGGGGGGGGGTTACAGAAAGTGAAAGTGAGATAAAAGATGAACAGAAGAAGGCAATTGATGTTGCATTTAAATTTTTGAAGATTGTAATTTTCAGGAAAGCAGGTAAACCGAATGGAGTTCCACTGTTAAGAAGTGCGAGGAAAAAACTTTGGGAATAGACGTGGCGGTTACGTTTAACTATTTCAACAGTGAAAGGGTGGAACTTGATGCCAGTTTAGTAGCACGTTTAAATTCTTGTAGTCGGAGCATCCGGGAAAAATTTCATAAGAACGGTTACCATGAAAATATTTGTAGAAAAAAACAAAAGTAAGCCACGTCACGTCAGTGAGAAAGTGACTGGAGTCGAGATGCCAAGTCAGAATCGATTACATTACAGATCCTTCTTTTGATTTTATGAAGAACCTAGAGTTGAACACAGGCGAAAACAGACCAGATATGGCAACAGTATTCAATGCACAGACGAATGGTAGATTTATAAATGTGCAAGACGAGAAAAACCTTCTGCCACGACACAATGAACCAACTTTCCTTGTTGACGTGAGAAAGCGCAATGAAATGCTCTACTGGAGTCGAGCCTCTGCCATGCTGATGGTGGGAAGGGAAGTTTATCTACGCTGGTTAAATAAGGGCAGTTTAGTTTTGGAGGCATTCAAATTTACAAGCCATTTCTTACCTCAGTTAACCACTGATTGGAGGTCCTTTCCAAGAGTAGCGACCTGTTTTGACTTGTTATTGAGACAGGAGTAAATGGTAGTGTCATTTGTATAAATGCCTACTTGGGAACAGATGACATCAGGAAGATCATTGATAAAGATCGGAAACAGCGTAGAACCCAGGATAGAGCCCTGGGAGAAAACCACGTTCGTGTGAAAGTATCTTGAAATGGAACCGTTTAGAACGACCTTCATTTTACAATTTGATAGGAATGATTAGATTAAATCAAACAATCGTCCTGTAATATTGTAGCCCTGAAGCTTACATAGATATCTAGAGTCACAGCTCGAGCTTCGAAGTTATTATCAAGAGCTTGATATATATATTCAATGATGGCCGTAAGCACGTCAGCGGTAGACCGGGCAAAATGGAATCCATATTGTTTATCAGATAGTAGGTCGTGTGAGATAAGATGCTTAATCATTTCAGCATTGATTAAATCTTCGAATATTTTGCCGAAATGCGGTACGGGACTAATGGGGCGGTAGTTAGGAGAGTCAGAAGGTTCTCCAGAGTTCTTGAAAATAGGAATTACAGAAGAGGACTTTCAACAAACTGGACAGCATGAAGGAGTGAGGCGATAGTTGTATAGTTTGGAGACTAGTAGAACCAGCTCGAGAGCACATTTCTTTAGGACGACGGCTGGGATTCCGTCACCGCCATTTGCCTTATGGGATGTTCCAGTTAATGTTCCAGTCCAGTGACGGGGTTATGTGCATACCACTCAGTAGAGACTCTGTTCTAGTGGGAAAATCAGTTGTGGGTATTACAAATGTGTCGAGTGTTGAATTGGAAGAGAATTTCCGAGCAAAGTATCCAATGTTAACTGCTGTAGATGTCAGGACTTCGAAATGATTGAATAGAAGAGGGATTGAGGATTTGCTGTTGTTCAGCACACTCTTGCAAAACCGGCAATAATCTCTAGAACTGAACTTGCGAGTTGTTTCATTCTATCATCAAACAGTAACTTCACTTCATTGAGGACATGCTTGCAGTCTTTACGAGCAGAAACAAAGAGACGTGTTACTCTGGTGCAGTCGGAAGAACTGATTCCAATTGCATACTCGCAGGTGAGTACCAAGATTGTTTCTTTTATTTTATTCACTGACTTTCTCTTCAACTCTCATTAAAATATGAAGGCGATGATGCCAAAAAATCTTTTTTTTGAATTTTTATATTTGGGCGGAGTTCAGAAAAGTGCTGAATGAACTTGAGCATTTTGAAAATAATAAAGAAAAAAGACGAAAAAAAGGAAATAAGAAAGATGCAAAAAAGAAGAAAAAAATTACGACAAAGATGAAGAAAAAAAAGAAAACTGAAAAGGAATTAATGAACTAGGAGTAATATTAATGGGAACTTACCTATAACGATAATGGACTCTTCCTGAAACTATAAATACTGCGCCTCTCAAGAGGTATAATGAATGAATGGTGTAACGAGCACCAGGTCATGACTGTTGAACTCTCTGCTTTGGCAGAGAGGAACCCGGACGAAGCTTTGCCGAAGGGCAAGGTTTTGTCCGGGGAGGTAGACAGGCCCTGAACCCGTCTAGGAGGGTTCAAAGGGTATATTTTTGGTCGAGCCTACGGGCTCGGGAAACCCACGTTAAACTCGGCCTTGTGCCGCATGCAACCCTCGTGGTGATGGGCGGGGGGCTAGATACCGAATGAATGCTGTAACAAGCACCAGTTCATGACTGTTGAACTCTCTGCTTTGGAACTTATATTTCACTTTAAAAAATAACTTTTATATGGTCAAATTTCCTGGAAGCGAAACACCTTTGATTATAATTCAATCGGCTCAAGTTAATCAGGTGATTCCCCTGCCAAATCTATCTCTGTGTTATCACAGTGTAGTGTCTATGTACTCAATGAAATTTATTACAAGCACATAGAAAGAAAGCGATTGGGGTTTGTATATGTAGATTATTATGTTGTTGTTGACTTTATACACCGGCGATAGCGGGAAATGCCAGAGAAGAACACTGAAGATTCAGACGACTAAAATAATCAGTGAATATTCCAAGCTATGAGAATCTTCTCAGTAAGCATAGCACAAGAACAAATACTATATAAGAGAAGAATAATAACTGAAGAAAACGAGAACAGCAAGACTTCAGCAGCGGCAGTAAGAAAAGAAAAGAGGTAATGAATGCTGTAAAGTGTTACAGTAGCACTAACGTTGGTTTAAGGCTCCGAATTCTAGATTGAGGATTGTCCCACGAGACAATAGCCTAATAGGATTAAAGCGTTGTTTTGTGAATTTGATAGCATGGTAGTTTTAAGTTTAACCCCTGGGTCAGAGGAATTAAAAGGTGAAAAATAAATGTACAGTAACTACCTTGGCACGATTGAAAGCTACATTTTGAACCGTACAAAATAATCCCTAATTTTTAAACAGGTACAACTGCTACCTCTGCTAATAATAATAATAATAATAATAATAATGAAACAATCAGAGATAATACTACAGACATAGTGATCAAAGCCAACAAAAACAGAATGTGCTTTCTTATTGTTGAAACTTGGATAAGCATGGAATAATAATAATACAACACAAAATGTACATTAACAAAATGTATTGAAACAAGGAAAAGGTACACAATATTTACAGTTAGTTTTGGTATATTCTTGGGAAGACTGTTCCTGCATAATTGGTTGACTAAATCGCAGTCGGGCAGAGTCTCTGGATTCGATCTCTTAATCTTCCGTCGTCTTCCGGTACCAACCCATATTTATATGGTCGGTACTCCACTTATGTAAATTAGGTGTATCATACACAACACTTATTGAAATGGCAGTTCCAGCAGACTCAAATGTATCTGTTGATATACAAAAATAC